TTGAGACCAGGGGAGGCTGGCTTGAGATGTGCTGGGGTCTGCGTGGCCAGATCGTGGTCTCACCCTGTGGAGACAGCAGTTGGTGGTGTTTCTGTTTCCTGGCACAAGCAGATTTGGGCAGTACCCACCCCTCCACCCCAAGATCTCCTCTCTTGCCTTCTATTTTAAGGTGTGGGAATATGTGCCAAGTCAGAGACCTCTGTGTGGTAGAAACTTCCACTGACTCCCATTAAGTTAATTTCTATCAAGTTAGAATGGCCCTTCAGGGCTCCACAAGAAATTTATTTTGCACATTAATACCATGAATTTAGTTATTTGGTATCTCAACTCACAGCAGGTAAGAAACAGCAAACTAGCAAATGGGATTAAGCAACAGGGAGGTGATATGACGGCTTAATAAGAGACAATAAAAACAAACAAACATGCACACGTATACCCACAGCAGAAACAAGAATTCAAAAAAGCATCCGTTTTGGCCTCTAATTATTGGAGCAAATCTCTATTCTGACTTCAATAAACCTTACATTTGCTTCCATGTTTCTTCACACTATCAAAATGCATGTTGATAATTATTGTATTGATTCATGATTAGAAGGTTAAGTAAAAATCAGTAGAGTATGCAATTAGAGTTGAGGGGGAAAAGTAATAGTCTAAAAGTTATCCTACCCCACCTGAAATAACACTTATCTGGGACTTAACGCATAACAAGCATTATTTAGATGTTATCTGATGAAATGTAATGAATTCTCAAAATAATTCTTTGCTGCACCCATTTTACGGGTGGATACACTGAGGTAAAGAGAAATTAGTTAACTTGCTGAGAGTCCCATCCAATATGTGATGGAATCTGAATTTGGACACAAGCAGTCTTACTCTGGTCCTCACTATAATCACTACAACATGCAGAATTCCATCTTCACAATGGCTTCAGGCCACCAAGATTTTTACTTTATCATAAAAGTGATTCTACTGCTGTGAAGATTAAAGGCACTGAGATCCCAGGTATGTCTTCCAACATAATTTAAGCAAATACAGCCAGTGAGGTTCATGTTTGTTCTGCTCCCATGTGGCATCAGCTCTTATGAGCTGGATTAAATGTCGTAAATGGACCAATGTGGTAAACATTAATTAGAAAAGAAATTCAGCAGATAAACGAAAAGGATAGAAACAGAGGTCGTCAAATACTACTGTGCTGACATCATGAAACTCTTGACTACATGCTACTGGTTGCCCATTTATCTTGCATGCCTGATGACTTTTGCAGGAATGGCAAATATGTTTGGAATAGAATGCAGATGTGTGTTTAAGTGAAGAAATGTGGCATTAAATAATCCAGTTGGGCTGTAGGTTACAGAGGTAGAGGTATGGAGAGACTTGAATTGCTCCCAGCACTATGATGTACAAGCTTTTGGGCAAATGGGCATCCTGTAGCCTCAGTTTCTTCATCTTTAAAACTCTGTGGTGCTTAGTGCTGTGGCAGGCACCAAGGATGTCCATACTCTGTCCACAGAACATGTGAATATATTACATTACCCAGCAAAGGGAAATTTGCAGGAGTGACTAAGGTGGTGAGCTTTGAGATGGGAAGACGATCTTAGA